GATTTGATCGCACGAGCAAGTCCGTATGATGTGTTTAGACTTTTATGCATGTTTGGTTTAGAGCCCCGAGGGCTCGGATGAGTTTTAGATATGCTTCAGAGTGTTTTAGACTTGGTAAAAATGTTGCAGGTTTCAGTTCTGTTGCAGAGCCTCTGATCTCGCAATTGCGAGATCAAGCCTCGCATTTGTGACCACTGTTGGGTTCGCATTTGCGACCTACTCATCGCAATTGCGAAGAGTAGCTGAGGAGGCCAGTGTTCGCAATTGCGAACAGATCTTCGCATTTGCGAAGAAGTCAGGGGAGTATTGCATTTGCAACCAAATGGTTCGCATTTGCGAAGGTAGCAGGCCGAGCCAGGCTTCGCATTTGCGAAGCATTGGTCGCATTTGCAAGTTCACATTTGCGAACATGTGGTCGCAAATGCGATACCTGCAACTGATCAAAACATCACTCAGTCGGGCTTTTGAATTCATTTCTAAAATTTTCGAACCCTAAACCTCCCTAAGCGATTTTTCAAAGACCCAAACTTCTCCAAATCATAGGTACGTGTTTTCTAACTGATTTTCTTCAATCTATTTCATCTTTTTACATGATTTCATCTCAAAATCTAGGGCTTTTCATGGGAAATTGGGTGTTCTTGGATAGAATTTAGGAATTTCAAATTCGGGGGATTTGGACTTCTATTTGAGGTGGTATTCCAAAACCAATTGTATATCCGGGCTCGGGGTGGCTGGGTAATCGGGTTTTAGTCCGAACTTCGGGTTTCGACCAAGCGGGCCCGGGGTCGATTTTTGACTTTTTGGGAAAAATGTTGGGAAATCTTTCATTATGCATTAGAATTGGTTCTTTAGCGTTTATTGATGTTATTATGTTAATTATGGCTAGATACGAGTGAATTGGTGGTGGAATCGAGAGGTAAAGTGGTGGTTGAGCTTTGAAATACCCATGACTTGAGGTAAGTGTTTGGTCTAACCTTGACTTGAGGGACTAGGGATCCCCGACTTGCTTGGTATGTGAGATATCATGTGTGTGGCGTATAGGTGTGGTAACGAGTACCTATGCGTCACCAAATTACTTGTTTAGCCCGTTTCCTTTCCCCGTTTCCCTATATCTTGCTTTCCTGCCTTAATTGCTACTTCCTCATAAATGTTTCCATGTCTAATTGCTTTATATTAACTGTTGTTCTCTCTACTGAATTATTTAATTGTTTCATGTTAGTTGTTGATGTTCCGTTGAAGTATTATTTGTTTCGTAGCTTCATTTTATTACCCTGTTGGCTTATATTGATTTATTGGTGCCTTATGGTGCATCTTGGTTGGTCTCGCCGAGTATTTTTCACTGGTGATGTTTCATAATCGTAGTGATATTCCATTGTGTGAACTGAGGTAAAAGTAATATGGGGGATTTGAGTTAGCTTGTGAAACACTTGTCTTTATTCTTTTGTGTTTGGTGCTGATATATACGTTGGGATAGGGTTGCACGCCGCAACAGGAGGCATAAGGGTGAAATGTGATTGTTTGGTGGGATCGGGTTGCACGCCACAACAAGGAGTAATAAGGTGGACAGGTGGGATCCGGTTGCGCGCCGCAACAAGAGGAATAAGGGTGATTTGTTTTGAGGAGTAAAAAGGGTGGACAGGTGGGATCGGGTTGCACGCCGCAACAAGGAGGAATAAGGGTGAATATTGATTCTGTTGTTGTTTATATATTGGGATCGGGATGCGCGTCGCATCAGTTGTTATTGTGTTTTCATTTCTGTTAAGGCCCATTACTGTGATGTTGAAACAGCCTTAAGGATTGGTTATAGCTGAATACTAGTAGAACATCTGGGTTCCGAGTTTATTTAATGCCAGTTATTGCTTTATTACATTCTGTATTTCCTTTCTGTTTAGTATAAACAGTTGCAGGTTGTATATGTTGTATGCCCCGCCGTAGCCTCGTCACTACTTCGTCGAGGTTAGGCTTGGCACTTACCAGTACATGGGGTCGGTTGTACTGATACTGCACTCTGCACTTTCTGTGCAAATTTTGGAGCTAGTGGCTGATCGCAAGGTTGGTTGCTATCACTGCTTCCCGGAGACCCAAGGTAGTCCTGTAGGTGTCCGCAGGCCCTAGGGTCCCCTTCTATCCTATTTCATTTTTGTTTTATCTATTTCCCAGACAGATGTAAACTCTTTGTTCAGACCATTATTTGTAGTATTTGTAGACTGTTCGTGAGTTGTGACACCAGTTCTGGGTGGAGTTTATTATGGTTTCGTTGTTTGTATAATGAAAATCTTTTACACTGTGTTATTCCGTATTTATTTCCGCTGGTTTACTTTTGTTAAGTTTTAAATAATTGAAAGATAAAAGAAAGAGGCGAATTATTCAGTAACGTTGGCTTGCCTAGGGAGTACAATGTTAGGCGCCATCACGGTCCCGACGGTGGGAAATTTGGGTCGTGACACAACATCAATCCATTAGTCGACTCTTGAGATTTGCTTGTCTCCTGAATTTCTTGAGCTTGATCTTTGTCACCTGCACTAATTCCTTTCTCGGCCGAGGAGTTATTTTCATCAAATATAACATGTACAGATTCTTTCACACACAAGCTGCATTTATTATAAACTCTAAAAAATCTACTCTTTAATGAATAACCCAGAAAAATACCTTCATCACTTCTTGGATCGAATTTTCCAAGATTGTCCTTACCATTATTGTGAATGAAACACTTACTTCCAAAGGGATGAAAATAACCAATATTAGGACGTTTACCTTTCCACAGTTCATAAGGTTTTTTCTTCAGAATAGGCCTTATGAGACATCGGTTGAGAACGTGACATGCTGTACTTACTCCTTCTGCCCAGAAATGATTTGGCAGTGAATATTCTAGTAACATAGTTCTCGCCATATCCTGTAGGGTTCTATTCTTCCTCTTAATGACTCCATTCTATTGGGGTGATCTTGGTGCAGAGAAGTTATGAGTATATCCTTGATCATTACAAAAGTCTTTAAAAGTTCTGCTTTAAAATTCTACTCCATGATCACTTTGGATTGTTGTAATCAAATACCCCTTTTCTCTTTCAACCTTCTTACCAAAAATCTCAAAATTTTTCAATGCTTCATCTTTATGAGATAAGAAAATCACCCAAGTAATACATGAGTAATCATCAACAATAACAAAAGCATATCGTTTTCCTCCTATGCTAGCAGTTCTAGTAGGCCCAAATAGATCCATATGAAGCAGTTGCAAGGGTTTAGAGGTAGATACAAAATCCTTGTTTTTGAAAGACTTTCTAGTTTGTTTTCCAATTTGACAAGCGTCACATATATGATTTCTAGAGAAATTCAGTTTGGATAAACCAATAACTAACTCATGCTTAGAAAGTTTTTCTATCCAATGCATGCTAGCATGACCCAGTTTTCTATGCCATAACCAAGGATCATCAGATATGGATGTTAAACATATATGACCATCTATATTTTCAAAACTATCAAGAATGTAAACATTTCCATACCTCTTACCAGGGAGAATTATTTTACCTGTCTCATCTTCAATAGCACAACCTGTTTTCTTGAATTTTACCTCATACCCTGAGTCCCATAGTTGACTTATACTCATAAGATTGTAGTTAAGTCCATCAACGAGATAAACCTCAGTAATATCGCAGTTGTTATTGAAGGGAACTGTTCCGGTACCGACTATTTTTCCTTTTGAATCATCGCCAAACTTAACGCTCCTCCATCTATTTTGTAACTTCCTTAAACAGGTTTTTATCACATGTCATGTGGCTGGAACACGCACTATCTAATTACCATTTTCCTTTGCGACTTCTCATGTGGTGTTCCTGCAAAACATAGTGATTACTTTCTTTTAGGTACCCAAGATTGCTTGGTTCCTGGTTGGTTAGTATTACTAGGTTCAGAATTGTTATGGGGTTTTCAAATCCATCCTGAAATATTAGATTTACGAAATTGACAAAAAGAATATCTATGTCCACTTTTGTTGCAGTAGTGACACGTAACTCTTAATCCATTTTTGGATCTTTCATTAGTGTTAGTACTAGTGGACTCTATTCTAGCTGGTCCTTCTCCAGTCGACTTGTAAGTCGCCTGGTTAGACCTGATAGAACTATGACTTGTGGATTTGCGAATGCCATTGAGTTGCATTTGCAATTCCTCAAACTCCTTTTGAAGTACTTCTTTTTCGATTTCACATACTTCATGTTTGAGTTTCCAGTCTTTTACTTCTTTGTTGAGTCTCTTTAGTTCATTTATCAATTTTTGAGACTCTTTCAAAGTAAGATCAAGAATATCCTGCAATTCATTACATTTTTCACAGTTATAAGACCTTACCTCGCTTGTTTCATCTCGTTCCATGAAACAATTCTCATTATCATCTTTGTATTCTTCGTCTGAAGTGTCTTCATTTGTCCAGCATCCTGAAAGTTTGTTAATGTTATTTTCCAGAATTGTCATGAAGCAAAGATTTGCTATCTCTTCGTGTTCTGAATTGTCTTCATCACTCCAGCTTCCAAAAGATTTGTTCTTATTGAAACCTCTGGAGACTTTTCTTTTTAGATCTGGGCACTCAGTTTGAACATGTCCAGATCTTCCACACTCATCGCATTTTTCATCATTTTTATCTTGTTCGTTGTATTGCCTAGATCGCCTAGGTGGAATCCTTCCTCTTCTAGCATTCCTGAATCTTCTCATTAAACCATCCATGTTTCTTGACACCATGGCAATTTCTTCTTGAAGAGCTTCAGGATCATCATCAATATCATTTTCAGCTATTTCAGTTGTGGCCTTGAATGCGACCGTTTTCTTCTTTTCTTCTTGGTTTGTTTTCTTGAGATGTGTCTTCTCGAAGGCTATGAGTTCTCCTCGAAGTTCATCATATGATAACTTATTCAGATCCTGTGATTCAAGTGTGACTACTTTGGTCTGCCAAGTAGTGGATAGGCTTCTAAGTATCTTTCTAACTTGATCACCACTTGAGTATGGTTTGCCAAAAGCTTTTAATTGCTAATGATTTTGCTTAATCGGGCAAACATCTCTTCAGTAGATTCTCCTTCTTTCATCTGAAAGAGTTCATAGTCATGAACCAACATGTTGATATGTGTTTCTTTTACTTTGCTAATTCCTTCGTATGTAACTTCAAGCTTATCCCACATTTCTTTGGCTGTATTACAACTGGAGATTTTCTCATACTCTTCACCACTTATGGCATTGTAGAGTAAATTTCTCGCCTTATTGTTGACTTGTACAACTGCCATTTGCTCATCTGTATATGAATCTATATCATCAGGATCAACAAGTGGTTGAGCAGCAGCAGGCGGGGGATAGTTCCCCTTTTTGATAACTCTCCAGACTTTGACATCATAAGCTTTTGCGTATATTTCCATATGCACTTTCCAGTGGGAGAAATGTTATCCATTGAAGTATGGTGGCCTTACTTACGAAGTTCCTTCTTGAAAGAGTGCTCCTATGATAACTTGATTTGCTATGATCTTTTCTCACAAGCTATTAAGCAAAAGAAAAATATGAGTCTTGCTCTGATACCAATTGAAAGTACAAGAGGGGGGAGGGGGATGAATTGTTTATTTTTAAAAATAATTGCTACCAGTTGACTAGTTTTCTAATGAGTTGACTAGATATAACGAATTAATAGTAGTAAGGATAGAATTTAAGATGCAGAAATTAAGTGCAGGAATTAAAGACACCAGAATTTTTATACTGGTTCGGATTCAATGTGAATCCTAGTCTAGTCCTCTTGGGTCGCAGGGTTCTCTTTCTATGAATGAGTTTCTCGAGTACACAGAGAATGATAAGATCTACACTGATAGCTCAGTTCATATATCACTCGTTTCTCTTTGATACAAAGACTCACCAGTGTTGTTCTCTCTTTCTTCTCTAACTTGTTACACAACAGGTCTAGTAGAGCTACAATGTTTGTTTCTAGTAGAACAAAGAGAGGGTATTTGGTTCGATCAAAGTATATGTGCTAAGGTACAGATACAAGTTTAAATACTTTGAGAGAGGCTTGATTTCTTGAGAGATTTGCGAACCCAAGAGATTTGATCCTTGGAAAGATATTGATTCTTTCCAAGAATAAGGTTACTCAGCAACGGCTATGGCTTGACGAGAGGCTTTAATGACTTCCCTTATGCATGACTTGATAGCGCCGGATATCCTTCCTCAATTCTTGATCCTTCCAGATTTAGTATCCTTGATTGATTATCTTGCAAGATCTTCGATACTCTTGATTGATTTGATTCCTTCAGTTTAGCCTTGATTGATTCCGTCAGTATCATTGACTCCTTTAATCTTGGATGCCTTCCTTAATTTACTCTGATGGATTCCTTCAATCTTGTATGCTCTATTGAATCGTCCAATCTTGAATGTTATCCATGAGTTCCTACACAAAGAATAAATATATTATTTTCATCATCAAAATCAGATCTGACACCACTCACTTGTGCTTTGAGAATAAAATATTAAAATACCAACGTGCAACTTATCAACAATATTTATCATCAATCAACTTGTCAAATAAGCGGACATTTGAGCTTATCAGCGAATTTACTATTTAGAGATAGATGGTAAAAAACAAGGATTTTTGCCGCGATTTATTTGGCAGTCATATGGCTCTGATGCCACTTAAGGTGAAGAGCAGAATACTGGAGGCAGTCTCATACGCTTATTCCCCTTATGCAATACATTCCTTGAAAAGTCATCTAAGTTTAGAGCTATCGTTTGCCAAATTGAGATTTAAAGATTCTAGTATCTTGATATTGTTATCCATAATATAAAGCGTTGTATATCATCAACATTTGAAAAAGACAATCTAATTGCGCATCATTTTTTTAACCAATGCCCAGTTAGGTAACGTTTTCATTTCTTTTTTGTTATAGAACATAATGCAATATCCTGCCCACTTTAAATTAGAGTTTCAGAGCTCCGTAACTTGTTCCAACAGCAAGAAGTCACATATTACTTTCAACTAGTTGATAGTTCTAGATAAAAGCTGCATTTGATCCCAATAAACAGATCGATACTTCAATATGAGAACTCAAAACCATATCAAAGTTACCAAAAGTCAAATATACTTAACGTCCACAATATCCATGTTGATAACTTAGCTTCTGTGATGAATGAAGGAGATAGATGAGTTTATTGTTGGGTTTATTATCTACCTGAATAAAGAGGCTTGAGTGGGAAACAGAGGAAATAAGAGTTGGAGGGAAATGAATAGTTTTAAGTGTTCCTTTTACTAACATACTTGTGTCCCTCATCGGAAAATGGAAAGAAAATCCCTGTTCTTATATAGAGAAGCACATCGTCTAGCTCTTAAAAGAGTTGAGAAGAAGTGGTGCCTCGCACCGTCGTCATCGCTCGGCTTCGTTCAATTGATTGATAAATTTTTGGACCAAATTTATTTTTTATTTTTCCGTTATTTATTTTCTTTTTCCTGATATTTTTTTCGCACGGATTTTATGTTCTAATTTCACGGTTAATTTCCTAACGATCGTTTTTGAATTTAAAATTCGCGACCAAACATAAATTTTTCCGAAATGGTACCTTATGTGAATAGGTACCTTTGCACCTATTCAACCCAGATTGTTTGGCGATAAATTCAGAGGTTTTGCCTCAACTTTCGACCACCGAAAATCTGCAAATTCCCCCCCCCCCCCCTCCTCTTCTGCATTTCTACATTATTTTCAGAAGCAAAACGTAAGCATTACTGTTTACTGTCTTTTGTTGAGTTCGACAAAATTCTGTAATTTCCATTATCGGTATTATAGAATAGTTGTTCCGTTCTATCCTGAAAAAATTAATCCAACAACCTTAGCCAACAGTGAGGGGGTTAAATTCCTTAAGAAAACATAATTTTCTGTTGGGCTCAGAACTTTTACTTATAATGTTTCTATTTCTGTTTCTATTTTGTTTCCTGTTTTATTTGCTGAAATTCTTTTCGCACACAGTTTGATTACAAGCTTAATGAATTTACATTTACTCTGTGTTCATTTTATATTTTGTTTTGGAAGTTTAAAATCCTAGTAATTTTCTACTTCCATTTTTGGAGATTAAAATCTTCAGATTTTTTACTCCATTTTTATATTCGGTTTGAAGATGTAAAAGCTTCACCGATTTACTAGTTCTGGTTGTCATGCGCCCGGTGATGGCACTGACACAAAAGTCCAAAAAATTTCCGACACAGATTTTAAGCGTTGGCAGTAGAAGATGTTCTTCTATCTGACCACGTTGAGTTTCTAGCGATTTATCAGTGAGGGCGTTTCAGTCTTAGTTGAAAGAACTCCTATAAATGAGTGATTTATGGTCACGAAGGCATGGAAGCATTTTGACTTCTTGAGCAAAAATTATATTTTAAGTTTCTTGAAATACGACTTGTATAATGTTTATAGCGTCATAAAAATATCAAGAGAGTTGTGGAATGCTCTTGAAAAGAGATATAAGCCGGAAGAGCTGGACATAAGAAGTTTGTGGCCGCCAAATTTTTGGAAATCAAAATCGTTGACAGCAATTCATTCATAACGCAAGTCCAAGAACTGAATGTTATTGTTTATGACCTCTATGATGAACCAATAGGTCGTTTTGAGTACTAGCCTTAATTTTCATGATATTAGACCCTCCCTAGCTTCATTTGGTATTTTTTGGTTTGCGTGCGTGGTCTGTGTTGCTTTTCAAAAAGTTTCTATGTGAAATTTTTAAGAAAATAAAAATTTTAACTAAAAAAAAGGCTAGAGTTTAGCCCGATCAATATTATGGATAAACGACCCCGGATCGATATTTTGATGGTTCCGATCGATTTTTATTGTAATATTGAACTTGAGCATATGCCCGGAATTAAATTCGGAGGTCCCTAGGTTGATTTAACTTGTTATGCCGAAAGTTAGCAATTTAATATTTGGAAATTTCCTAGATTTGATCATAGGTTGACTTTATGGTAATCGGATTCGTATTTTAGTTTTGGTACTTGGAATTGGTCCGTTTTGCTATTTAAAACTAGTCTGCAAAATTTGGCACAATTTGGAGTTGGATTGATAGGATTCAGACGCTTGGTTGCAATTCTAGAGGTTCTTGAGTTTTCTTTTGAAATGGATGCGTTTTGATGTCCGATTCGTGATTCTAGATGTTATTTTGGTGCTTTGATCGCGTGAGCGAGTTTGTATGATACTTTTAGACTTGTGTAGATGTTTGGTTTGGTGCCCCGAGGGCTTGGGTGAGTTTCGGAATGGTTTGGACTCAATTACAGATTGCTGGAGTACTGGTGCCTTAGGTGTCGCAATTGGGAGAACCAGCATCGCAATTTCGATCATAGCATAGGGGCCTCAGATATCGCATTTGCGATACCTTAATTGCATCTGCGAAGATTAGGCTAGAAAGGGTAGGCTCGCGGTTGCGACAATTTAGTCGCATTTGCGTTTGGAGCAGGCTTCGCAAATGCAAAGCCAATGTAACATTTGCGACTTCCCAATTAGGCTGTCACGGACGCAATTTCGAGTCCACTTTCGCAATTACGAGGGTTTGCAATTATCTACCTAGTGTCACGATTGCGACATCTGCACCTGAACAAAAGGGCTAAAAAATCGGGATTTGATCTCATTTCTCTCATTTTAGAATCCTAGACTCGGTTGGAGGTGATTTGTTGAAAGGATTTTCACCTACAATCATTAGGTAATTGATTTTAATCTATTTTCAATTATATTACATGATTATACATGATATTTAACATCAAATTCATGAGAATGCAAGAAAAATTTTGGGGATTTTTGTCTATGTTTTGACAAATAAAAATGTTGGATTTGAGAGTCGAATTGGCCTCGGATTTTGAAACAAAATACATAAATGGACTCGTGGGGTTATGGGTAGTCGAGATCTATCCTTGGACTCGGTTTTTGACCGACTGGGCCTGGGGTTGACTTTTTCAAATTTATTAAAGATTGAATCTTTTTCACTCACGGGTAATTTGTAAAGCTTATTTTAAATTATTTGAACTATATTTAGCTAGATTTCACAGATATAGAGGCTAATTCTAACGGAAAGGCCATCGTTGAGTATTGATTTGATTGCGAAAAGAGGTAAGTATTGTGTCTAACCTTGACTTGAGGGAATTATATCTTGTTATATGCTTTAATTATTGCATGTTCCTACTAGACATATATGCATTACATGGTAAATTGTTACCTAATTCTTACTTGCTTTATTTATTCATTTCTTACTCATAATCTGCTTAACTGCTACTTGTTCCTACTTGACGTAATTATATATTCTCATTGTCACATATTTTACCTGTTTTTATTGTCCTTATATTACTCGATACACTCTATATTATTTCGCTTACATGAGCCGTTTAGCTATTCTTGTATTGATGAATTGATAA